TGCTGCTCCCAGGCGAGCAAGTGTTTGAAATGGCTTGTCGTGTTGCCAGCTGTATTCCCGCCTTCAGAATTGCTCCCTGCTGACGTTTGGGCTGGCAGGAGTGGAGACGCAGAGGCCTGGGAGGGAGCTCTTGGTTATCCAGCAGTAGGCACTGGATTGAATGAGAGAATGGAAATGAGAGCCTAAGGAGCCCAGAGAAGAGGGGTCAGTGGCTGCCAGGGGCCTCTGACCAATCACAGGCCAGACCTTAGGGTGGAATGTCCTTAGGCTCAGACCCACTGCTCTTGTCTCCTTCTGCCTGAGATAGAGCCAAATCTCCTCCAGGTTACCCTGGGCACAGACTCCACAGATCTCAGGGGGAACCTAGCCCCAGCTCAAAGTGATTTGCCCCACCATGGACTCACAACATACCAGTTTTTATTGTTCACTTGTTTTCAGTTGTATCTGACTCTTGGTAACCCCATTTGGGGTTTTTTTGGCAAAGATACTGGAGTGGTTTGCTGTTTCCTTCTCTAGCTCATTTTACAAATGAGGAAACTGAGGCAAACAGGGTGAAGTGACTTGCCCAGGATCACATAGCTAGTTAATGTCTGAGGCTGAATTTGAACTCAGAAAGATGAGTCTTCCTAACTCCAGATTCAGCCCTCTATCCTACTGCACTGTGGGGCTGATGAGAACAGACAATCTCTTCTGGTGATGAACAACTTACACCTCACATTTCTATAGTTCTATATCCTCACACCTCACATTTCTATAAGTTTTTACCCAGCCCTTTCAGTTCACTCAGCAGATATTAAGCACCTACTCAGTCTGGGCATCCTAGGCACTGAGCATAGAAAGATAAAAATGAAACAGTTGCTCTCTGAAAGGAGCTGATATTCTGTTGTCTCTTACAATCACCCTGTGAGTTACATAGTATTTTCCCCATTTTACAGATGAGAGGCTTGAGGCAGTAACTTACACAGTCACATAGCTAGTGTTAAATTCAGGACTCAAACCAAGGTCCAAACCGTATGACCCAGATGGTAGGATCATGGATTTTAAAGTCAGAAGGGGCCTGAGATCACCTAATTGAACCTCCTTGTTTTACTGACGAAATGAGGACCAGAAGTCACATCAGTTGCCTAAGTGATCATTGGCAGAGTGAGGATTTCAGCCTGGGTCCTCTGACTCCTGCATACTCTTCACTGCCTCCCCTAGAGACTCTCTGGCTGCTTCTGGGCTGCTTCCCAACAATTCTTGAGTACCTACTAAGTGCAAAGCACTGAGCTATAAACACAGGGTACGAAGACAAGCCATGGCCTTCTGACGTTGGCTGGCCATAAATACCTGTGCTACTTTTCGCTCTGTCGGGCCCTGAAGGCCCAGCCTCCCTCACCGTGTCATGGTTTTCAGGCACGTAAAAGATCAATTCCATTGGCAGCCCCTGCTGTTGGCATGGCTGGCCCATCTGTGGCCTGCTCCAAGACATTCGGTTCTCTAATCCGGTCTGTCAGGCCATTCGCCCTGCGGGCAGGGCCCTTGGGGACCCAGAACGCAACCACAGAGTAATTCATTGGAAACGAATTGGCTTTGAGTTGCCTAAGGCCTGCCCTGGCAGGAGAACTGCTGCAGAGATGCCAGTGATCCAGGTGGCCCACATTCCCTCCACTGTGGGCCCTGCTCCAGAGCAGCTAATGAAATGGATTTCTTGTGGTCCTGGCATCAGAGAATCACAGAACATTAATACAGAGACAATATTTGTATAATACTTAGCATAATGCCTGGCACATAGTAGGCACAATATAAATGTTTATTCCCTCCCCCTCCCCCCACCTCCAATTAATACTTAAAGTGAACTTAGAACACTGGATGTCAGAACTGGGAGGGCCCTTAGAACACAGAATGTCAGCGCTGGGAGGGAACTAGAACAAAGAATTCTAGGACAAGAAGGGACTGTGGAAATGAGAATATCTGCTTGGTTTTAGAGATTATCCGGTCTCACTCCCCTGGTTTGTCTTGCCTTCCCTGAGAGTGTTTAAAGATAAATAGCCAGTAGACTAGGTGGTTTCAGAATTGTCCTTCACTGAGGCAGAGGAATGGCCTGAGAGAACTCTTTAAGCCCATCAAATATAGAATTAGAAGGTATGTGGTACATCATCTAATCTAGTCCCCTCATTTTACAGATGAGGAAACTGAGGCTCTAAGAGGTCACATGATTTGCCCAAAGTTGCCCAACTCTGCCCTTCATTCTTACTGGATTGCCTGCTCCAGTAATTTAGTTATTTCTGGTATTTCCTCTTCTAAACAGAGGTTTCTGGGGAAACTGAGAGGCAGATGGGAATAGACCTCAGAACTTCTGGTTTTCTGACTAGCCTAGGTCCAGCACCCTTGACCACATCCTCTCTCCCATCCCACCACCAGCAGATCTGCTCATAGACAGATGTGGTCACACTTTGCTCTCTCAGCAGCAACTATCGCCCACTCCCTTGTAGGCCTGGGGGCCCCCTGAAGGAGCCCCATCTCCGTCTCTCTCCTCTCTATGTATCTAAGGCCTTGGAGATGTACCCCTGGTTCAGCGACAGATTCTCTCCCCTTTTCCAAGACCCCTTCAGATGATTGATTTGGGAGGTGAAATCAACTTTACAGAAACTTTGTCCCCCCACCTTTCCACTCAGGGTCATAGCACTTATTGCCAAAAGGAACTTCATTTTATAAGATGAGGAAACACATCCAGAGAGGAAGAAGGTACACCCAGGTGGTGGGAAGCTGAATCAAGATTCAAACCCAGGTCCCTGTCTCTGAATCCAGTGTTCTTTCTCTTCCACACGCTTGCTGAGGGACAGAAGTATCTACATAACCCTGATCTGTGGGCCAAATAGAGGCACAGTTAGAGAGAGTCCAAGGGAGTGGCTGATTTACAACAGGTTGGCACCATGCCCACATTCCTACCCGACTCTCTCCAAATAACTCACCCAGGAAATCACTCAGCAGGAGCAGAAGGCCAGGTGTCCAGGAATAAAATCAGCTGCTCCTTGGGTCAGTTCCTTCAGCCTCCATGAACCTCACTCCTCCTCTGTACTATGTGGGTTTTGGTCTAGATGGTCTTTTAGGCCCCTCCCAACCCTGACATTCTGTGTTCTAAGGGCCCTCCCAGCTCTGACACTCTCTGTTCCAAGGGCCCTCTCAGTTGTGACATAGGGCTGTCCCAGCTCTGACAGTCTGTGTTCTACAGGCTCTCCCAGCTCTGACATCCTATGTCCTTAGCTCTGTAACTGTTGGGATACTCCAACTGTCAGCACCCTATCTATAGCAGCAAATGTACAAAGTGTCCTATCTTCCCAGGCCTGGAAGGGTCCTCTTGCTGAAGCCCCTAGGCTTTTCCAGAACAGCAGCTGTTGTCTGATGCCCAGCCCTAGTCTGGGAGGGGTTTGCCTGACTGATAAGCAGAAGGCTCTGTACAATTTAGCAAGCCTGTGTCCCCACCCACTGTGTGATGTGCCCTTGGTGGCCTCTGCTTGTAACCCCACCACAGCTGCAGGGAAGGGTCATGGAAACCAGGGAGAGAGGTCTCTTATGAGCAGTGTCTGTTTCCCAAAGGCCTTTTGGGAGATAACCAGCTGAGAGTGCCCTAAATATTCCTTCCCTTCCAGAGCACAGAGACTAGCTTCTACAAAGCAGCTGTGGTACAGAATGGAAGAGGGGGGGAGTTAGTCTGCCGAGGGAATTATTATTATTTCTGCAAAAAGGAAGAATTAATCTGCAGAAAACCAATGACGGTCATTTTAGTTCAGCAGTCCACTAGGCCTTTTATTGTATCCCCACTATGAGACAGGCACCCAGCTGGATACTAGGGATACAAAGACAGAAATGGAACAGCCTTTGCCCTCAAGGAGCTTACATTCTGCAAGAGGAAGACAGCTTCTTTCTGGAGGTATCATACTTCCAGCAAGGAAGAGGCAGAGGCTAGAAAGTAGGGCCGTGTAGAAGTGTGGGGATTGTACTGGAAATGGACCTTGTGAGGCAATTGCTGAGAAAGGAGATAGAGAGTGGGTGTGTCTAAAATGCCAGGCTCACCAGGATCATTATCTCTACTCCTCATAAACTTTCCCTCCCCTCTTGTCTTCAAAGTCAGTCCTCTTGTCTCCATAGCTTAGAGACTGTGGATTGTCATGGAAGGTGGTCTAACTGTCAGAAGACCTGAGTTGTCCTCAGGAAAATTGCTTCTCAAGTGCCAGACCTCTATTTACTTGTCTGTAAAATGAGGAGATTGGATTTGATGATCTCCAAATTCCTTCCAATTCTGACACTCTATGTTCTCAATTCTGTGTTCTCAGACCTTTTTCAGTTCTGGTATTCTTGGTTCTTCTAAGGCATTTTCTAGCTTTCTATTATTCCATGTTCTAAGGTCCCTCCAACCTCTATTTATTCTATGTTCTAATGTTTTGACAGTTTTGACAGTCTATTCTATGATTCCTCCCAGCTGTGATATCCTATTCTCCCTTTGAAGTTGTATGTTCTAAGATCCCTCCTAGCTCTGACACTCTGTGTACTGAGGGCCTCTCATCCCTGACATTCATGTTCTAAAGCTCTTCCCAGCTCTGACATTGTGTTCTAAGGCCCCTCCCACCTCTGACCTCCTGTGTTCTAAGGCCTCTCCCAGCTCTGGTACTGTGTTCTAAGGCCCCTCCCAGCTCTGACATTCTGTGTTCTAAGGGCCCTCCTAGCTCTGACATGCTGTGTTCTAAGGGTCCTCCCAGCTCTGATATTCTCTGTTCTAAGGACCCTCCCAGCTTAGAACAGACACCCTCTGTTCTAAGGGACCTCTCAGCTCTGATACTCAGTAGTTTTTTGGATGAGTAATTGTTCAGGGTGAATTTGTCTCCAATGTTTTACCTAATCCCTGTAGGTCATGCGATTAGCAGACCAGCACCTGGTAAGAAAATTAGCTGATGGAGTTTGGGTTGGATGGGGACCCCGAGTTATTCTCACTCCCCCTCTGCTGTTCTCCCCCCCCCCAGGTATGACGCTGGCCGAGATGGCTTCATAGACCTGATGGAACTGAAGCTCATGATGGAGAAACTCGAGGCTCCTCAGACACACCTGGGTCTGAAAAACATGATTAAAGAAGTAGATGAAGATCTTGACAACAAACTGAGCTTCCGGGAGGTAGAGTGGGCAGAGAGTTGTGTCTGCTGTCACCACAGATAGTGGCGCCGGGCATGGGAGGTACAGAAGAGAGTGGTAAAAGAGCAGAGCCCACTTTCAAAATCAGGACTTAGGGGGCATCTCACAGTGCCTGGGCCTCTGCCCAAGTGGCATCATGATGCCTAGCCTGGGTTCACCAAAAGCATGGGTCACATAATGAAACTATGGGAGAAGGGACCCTAACCCGTGGCCTCAGTTTGCTCACCAATAAAATGGACTAATAGCTTAGCTGACTCTGTAGGGTCCACAGAGGTTGAGAAATGTCTTTAAGTTCTTTGATTAGATTGTAAACTTCCTAGTAAGTGGCAAGCTTGTGATGGTCAGGGTGATCTGCTAAATCAGAATTTTAATATTCTTCTACATAGGATGCAATGTCCAGACATATGCAGTTAGGTGTTTCATTCATTCATTCATTCAACAAGTATTTACTGAGTACCTACTATGTGCCCAATCCTGGGTACTGTGGGAGAATACAGAGATATGTAAAACACCATCCCTGACCTCATTTCTTATAGTCTTATGTGGGGAGAGAAGACTCAGATACATAAGAATAGTTCTTCCAGTTAAATCAAATAAACACTTGCGAAGTACCTACTGCTTATAGGGGGATTTGTGCCAGGGCTATAAAAACAAAGAGTTTACATACTATTGAGTTGGGGGAGTGAGAAGTAGGGTAGAGAGATATTGTATATAAATAAGGCTGGCATCATGAGACAGTAGAAAGAGCCCTGGTTGGGGAGTCTCAGGACCTGCATTCAAATCTTGCCTTGGTCATTTACTAGTAATATGATGTTGGGCAAATCCTTGTGCTTCTCTGTGACTCAGTTTCCTTATCCGCAAAGTGATAGTATTAGACTAAATGGTGACCTAGTGTATGTGGTAAATACAGTGCTAAATGTGGAGGAGACTTAGGTTCAAATCCCACCTCACACTTAGTTATGTGACCCTGTGGAGGTTAAGCTAGTTAACTTCTCTGGGCCTCAGAGTTCTCCTGTGTAATATGAGGAAGTTGGGATAGAAGCCTTCTGAGGTCTCTTCTAGCTCTAAATCTATGACCCAAGCCCCTAGAACAGGGTATGTCAGAGCTGGGAGGAGCCTTAGAACACAGGAATGTCAGAGCTGGGAGGGCCCTTAGAACAGAAATTGTCAGAACTGGAGGGCCCTTAGAACAGGAATTGTCAGAGCTGG